CAGGGCGCTCCAAACCTGCAGTGATTTGTCAGCAGGAATAGCTGGGAAGCTCGGACTCTGGCTGCCATCCAGAGGCTCGGGGAGTCTCTGTGGCTTGGTTACAACATGGAAGGCCTGCAGCAGGAGGAAGCGGTGTAGGGGGCCGTGGGCCTGGCACAGTGCAGGCCCCCAACATGGTAGGACCACAGCCACAGTGCGGGGGATGCCCAAAGCATCTGATCCACTCGCCTCTCTGAGAAGAGGCAGTAGTGTGTGAGGTCAGGGGCACTCTTGGGCTCAGGTGGTCCTGGGTTCAAACCCCAGCTCACTAGCTTGCAAGCTGTGTGACCTTGGACAAGTGACGTAACCTAGGTGAGCCTCAGTTTCCCCTCTTGTAAAAGGGGGATCGAGGGCTCCTACCTAATGGGGCTGCAGTTAGGACTCAGTCAGATAATCCGTGCAAAGCTGTGTAAAACCCTAGCAATTCTGGTACATGGAAAGTGCTCAGTCACTTTATTAATAATAATCATGGTCACTGGGTGGCTGGGTGCCTTGGTGAAGCGTCTGCCTTCAGCTCAGGTCGTGATCTCAGGGTCCTGGGAAGGAGCCCCTCTTTGCATCAGGCTCCCAGCTCAGCCATAGGTCTGCTTCTCCCTCTCCTGCTGCCCCTCCCCTCCCCAAGCTCTCTCTCAAATCAATACATAGAGTCTTTTAATAAAAAGCAATTATGGCCACTTTTCCATGGGCCCTGATTTCTTAGGCACGGAGGCCTTTCAGCCCTACATGGTGACTCCCTGCTTTCAGGGTCCCCCAGGGTGAGCAGAGAAGAAAGAAACATCCAGCCATCGGGCAACCTTCCCCCGGCTGTCTGTACCAGAGTCCTTGCGCGTGCACACGCCTCTGAACACTGCCCATAAGTTCACACGGTCATCTGAGCCTCGTGGAGACAAGCAAGCCAAGACAAAGGACATAGAATCCTAGAAGGACTCATGAGCATCTTAGCGGGTTGCTCTGATCAGTGCATGTGGGCTGGCCTAGGGTCCCTGGCTCGTTCTGGGCGCTGGGTAAGGGTAGGTGGTTTGTTATTATTGCTATTGACTATTGGCCCCCAGGAGAGGCCACACATGCGTCCCCCTGCAGCTCCCAGAGCCCTCTGCACCCCCGCTCTACTGCCTCACTCACTCTGATGCCCCCCACCCAGATCACTGTCACCTACCTTTGGGGTCTTGGCTTGTATATTTCCCTCCATTTGGACTATCCCAATGCTCTCCATCCCCCTCCAAAATCTGACAAACTCCTACTCAGTGTTTAAGATTCAACTCAGGGGGCGCCCAGCTGCCTCAGTCAGGAGGGCATTTGACTCTTGGTCTCGGGATCATTGAGTTTGAGCCCCATGTTGGGAGTAGAGATTACTTAAAAACAAAAAAGTTTCAACTCAGATGTCACCTCCTCCAGGAAGCCCAGCCCAGTGCTTCAGGATGCTGCCTTGATGGTATGTTCGACCTGACTCTCTGGGATACTCACCGCAACGTGGCCAAGAGCATTTTCCATATATGCCCAAGCATATGTCGATGCGTGTATATATTTCATGTAGACATACTTACCGAATTATGCTACGTTTGCATGTTCAGTAAGCCAACGAAGGGAAGTGACCTTGAGCAAGTCATTTCCCTTCTGGGGCCCGGTTGCCTCAACCTCAAGATGAGGGGCTCGGTCACGTGCTGAAGGGCCAAGCATTCACCTGCAAACATCAAATGGCATCTGCTCTGGGCTCCCTTCCCAGTGGGGAGACAGGCTGCTGACCGCCGTAGTGTGGTCTTACTAGCAGTTCCCAGGGGCACGGACCCTGTGCTTTGAAATAGTTTGTCTATTATGTGTCTGTATACTGGCTCTTCAGAATAATTATGTGCCTTTTTTAAGATTTTATTTATTTATTTGACAGACAGAGATCACAAGTAGGCAGAGCAACAGGCAGAGAGAGAGGGGGAAGCAGGCTCCCCGCTGAGCAGAGAGCCCGATGCGGGGCTCAATCCCAGGACCCTGGGATCATGACCTGAGCCGAAGGCAGAGGCTTAACCCACTGAGCCACCCAGGCGCCCCTAATTATGTGCTTTTAAATGGACACGCACTGGGAGATTTTGAAAGGAAAATAAAACAGGAGAGTCAGGGGTATATCTTTATTATTTAAAAGACCCCCAACTATTTATATAGGGGCATCGAGAGAATTACTGTGCTAGACAGCCATGCTTCAGTTTTACTGTTTTCATGACAAAGCTGAGCTTGTCATGACCGGGAAGCTAGACACCAAGACACATGACATTTCTGAGCTCATGGCTTGGAGTACAAGGTCTGTTGGACTGAGAATGTTCTACAGAACTTGGCACCTTTTGCTGGACTCTGAGGGACATTGGGCCTTAGGGAGGGCACCTGGCTTGACCAGTCCCTCTTGCTTCAGAACCCTGTCTTAGTTTGGCCCTCCCAACCTCCTGATGTCTGATCTCATTCTGCGCAAGCGTGTGCAGCCACAGGTGCGGGGAGCAGAGAGTCTCCCTCAGGCCACTGGGTATCATCATCTCTAGCACTAGTCTTTGCTGCACCAGGGGGGACATTAGGGACACTTTTGTGGGTTCTGGCTGGGGGACTCCGGGTCTGACAGTCTGTGGTGCTGCAAACAAACCCTATCTAGATGCAGGCTTCGTTTTTCTTTGTATTTCTTTCTGAAGCTGCTGGCCCTGGAGAGGTGTGGGACTGAGACGCAGGCCGCAGGAACGGCCTGGGGCCACGCACCAGTGAGAAGGGTGTTCCCATGAGCTCAGGGTTACCCATCTCCACCACTTCCCTAGTGAGTCCACACATCCTCTTCTCACCTCTCCCAGAAGCAGCTCTGTGCACAGCCTTCAGGAGCTGTTTGATCTGGCTTCCTGGGCTAAGACAGGCTTGCAGCCTCCCAGGCGTGAGCTGAAGCCCTCTCCAAACCTGGATTCATCTGGGCTGGGCCGGGCCTGTGGAGAACTGGGGCTCACCTGGGCCAAGTCATGGGAACCCTGAACTCTTCTGGGGCTTCACCCTCAGAGCTCTGCTCCTCCCACTCATCCTCTCTCTACCACATCCTCCTGAACAACTACCTGGAAAGAGGGGCACATGGGTGAGGAATGAGGTACTGAATAGTGACCTCTCTGTGCACCTCCCCATCCCTTCACTAGCTGGCCAGAGTGAGCCTCTTAAAAGGCAAATCAGGTCAGGTTGCTTGGCGCTAACCCCCTACTGCTTTCCCAGCTGCCTTAGAATCATGCAGTGTCCGGCCCCCACTGACCTCATCTTTCAGCCCTTCCCTGGCCCATTGCCAGCCCCACCTGCCTTCTTTGTATAGGCGACTAACAGGCCAACCCTAGGGCCTCTGCATTCTCCTCCCTTCACCTGGAGGGCTCTTCCCCCCTCATCTTTGTCCTTTCTGCTCAGGTCTCAGCTTAGATGCACCTCCTGAGTGGTCCTCCTTGACCACGGGATCTAAAGTAACTGATTATCACTTTCTGTGACAGCAGCTTGTCTTAATCCCCTGCGCAGCACTTAGGAGCCTCCTCCTGCTTATCTAGTGTTTATTATCGCCCTCTCCTCCTCCCGGGAGACTGCAACGTCCCCCCAGAGGGTAGTGACCTCTGCTGTCCTGCCCTGCGGAATCGCCCGGGGGTTTGGAACAGGGCCGGTGTAGAGAAGGTGCTGGGTGCGCATCTGGCCAACGAATGGTTGAGCAACTGGAAATGGGGCCATCAGCTGCTGCGCGGGCGCGCGCTCCAGGCCGTGGTGGCTCTCAGTCGAGTGCGCGCGGGTTTTATCTTATAGCGGGTCTCGGGCGAGGGACGCCCCCCTCGGACCAGCCAGCAGCAGGCGCGCTGTAAACACGCTTCGGGGAACTCGAGGATAATGAGACAGACTCCCAGGCTGGGGGAACACCCCGGGTGCCCCGCGAGGCTGCCGGTGGGACAGGGTTTCTGCTGGTGGGTCGGCGACCCCCGATCCTGCCGTTAAGGCCCCGGTGGGAGACCTTCCTCCATCCCCTCCAGAGGTCTCCTCCTCCGAATCCCTGACTCTCCCTCGAAGCCCGGGGACTAGCGGTCGGGTGGGCGGGGGAGCAGTGCTCTGAACGCGGCTCCGGGCGGGGGGCAAGTTCCCTGTGCCCTCGCCCCCCTGGGACAGTGGAGAGGGTACAGACCGTGCTCGGAGACACGTCTGGCGAGGCCCTGGCCCTCCCGGGCGTAGACGCAGGAGCCACAGCGCTGGGCTGGAGTGGAAACGCAGCCCTTCCGCGTGCTCAGGCAGGGGACGGGAGTGGAGATGGGGGCGGAGGAGTCGGGGACAAGGAAGGGGACAAAGAGCCGCCCTGCCTCTGGGGACAGCGACCCCCGAGTCAGAGTCCCATTGTTCGTCGTATCTCTCACTACGCCGGGCTCCGGTGCCCCCGGGAGGGAGAAGCGGTGCTGTCCTTCGGCTCCCGGGTATTTGTTTATTTGGGGCGGAGGAGGGTACGCGGGGGACGCAGGCCTGGGAGGGGGCTCGGCGTCCATTTCCGCGCGTCTCCTTTAAGGAAAGCCCTGCCCTACCTTTCCCACCGTCCCCCTCCCCGCAGCCGTACCTGCATTTTAAAAGCGCCCTGTAGCCCAGGGATTGGCCAAGGCCGCGTCCTCCGGGCGCAGAAACTTGAACCGCCCGGAGGGGGGTTGGAAGCCGGGTGGCTGGACTGTACCATCTTCTCGGCGTCCCCCGCGTGCGCCCCGCCCCTCCCACACACCCCCGAAGAGGCCCAATCGGATGGGCGGGAGGGCGGGACCGAGGCGCGAATGCGCCTCTGGCAGGGCGCCGGGCGGGCGGGCGCACGGCGCTGGGGGACGTCGGGGGCCGGCCGCGCCTCTGCCCGTCCCCTCGCTCCCCCCCCCCGGAGGCGGAGCCGGCCGAGGCGCCCCGCCCCCTCCCCGCCCGGAGTGGGCGGGGCGGCCGGGGCTCCGGGAGCTGGGCCGGGGGCGGGCCTCCGCCTGCTTCGCCCGAACCCGGAGAGCGCCCGGCACGGCGGCCGCCGACGCAGCAGCGGTCCCAGCTCGCCGAGCCCCGAGACCCGCGGTTCCCGGGCGGCCCCGGGCGGACGCTGCGTGAGGGCGCGCGAGAAGGCGCGGGGCGGCCCGCACGCGCCCCCAGCCGCCCCCTGCCCGTGAGCGCACCGGCCCAGCGCCGCCCCGGCGCGGGGAGCGCCGGCCGGGCGAGGGCGCGGGCGATGCCGCGGTGACGGCCCCGCCATGGCGAAGCCCCCGGCGGCGGCGGCGGCGGCGTCGGAGGAGCTGAGCCAGGTGCCGGACGAGGAGCTGCTGCGCTGGAGCAAGGAGGAGCTGGCGAGGCGGCTGCGGCGCGCAGAGGGCGAGAAGGTGGGCCTCATGCTGGAGCACGGCGGCCTGATGCGCGACGTGAACCGGCGGCTGCAGCAGCACCTGCTGGAGATCCGCGGCCTCAAGGACGTGAACCAGCGGCTGCAGGACGACAACCAGGAGCTACGCGAGCTCTGCTGCTTCCTCGACGACGACCGGCAGAAGGGGCGCAAGCTGGCGCGCGAGTGGCAGCGCTTCGGGCGCCACGCGGCCGGCGCCGTGTGGCACGAGGTGGCCCGCTCGCAGCAGAAACTGCGCGAGCTCGAGGCGCGCCAGGAGGCCCTGCTGCGCGAGAACCTGGAGCTCAAGGAGCTGGTGCTGATGCTGGACGAGGAGCGCGCAGCGCTGGCAGGGGGTGGGGGCGGCGCGGGTGGCGGCGGCGGCGCGGGCTCCCGCAGCTCCATCGACAGCCAGGCCAGCCTGAGCGGGCCGCTGGCCGGCGGCGCGGCGGGCGCGGGGGCCCGCGACGTGGGCGACGGCAGCAGCACGTCGAGCGCGGGTAGCGGAGGCAGCCCGGACCACCACCACCACATCCCGCCCCCGCTGCTGCCCCCGGGGCCGCACAAGGCCTCCGACGGCAAGGCAGTAGCCACGCGCAGATCCCTGGACGACCTGTCGGCGCCACCGCACCACCGAAGCATCCCCAACGGCCTGCACGGTAAGGACGGCTCGGGTCCGGGAGCGCGGGTCTCAGGCCCACGGCCCCTTCCCCCGGGGCGGTCGCCACTCCAGACCCCTCCTCCAGCTGGCATCCAGACCCAAGGGCTGGGGGATCCCGCGCCCACGCGCAGTGGGCTTTTGGGTGACGTTTTTCTGGTCAAGTGATGGAGGCGTGACCCTGCCCAGCTCCAAGTCCGCAGCCGGGCTGGGGACCCACTGGACCCCAGAAAAGTTTCTCTCCTGTGGAATTATCAGCATTCGTGTCGACACTGCAAGGCCGGCTGGGGAGCCTCATCCCAACCTGGAAATCCTGGTCCAGGAGTGGACAGTTCTTGCGGGGGGAGGTGCGTGGGAGCGGGGGAAGAAAGGCCCTTTGAGTACGGGTGAATTTCCCTCTTATTTGGAGCAACAGGCAACCGCAAACCTGGGCAGCGTCCGTGCGTGTAGGGGGCTGGAATTCCACCTGCGGTTCTCTGTGCCGCCTGCGGGCTGAGACTGCCAGGCAGCCCGGCCAGAGGAACGCGGCCAGGAGCCTCCAGTTTGTTATCAGTCTGGAACTTCTCAGGGTGGACGGACCTTTCTCAGCCGAGGCTCAAAGACTTTCCAGAGGAATATGTGCTTGGAATGGGTCCTGGCTTTTCTCCTCTGCCTGCCTCAGTTTCCTTGATCTGTACAGTGGAGTTGATCCCTGCCTTGTGGATTTGAGGGGGAGATAAAAATTCTCCCAAGGGACCTGTAAACTGTTGGTCGTCTTAGAGGAAGTGTGGTGGTGGTAGGTGGCCTGGGTGTGGGTGGAGGACCTTTGGCCTCAGGAAAGCTTGGCTAGTGTCTTCCACGCCCATGTGACCTATGGGGCCCCAGCTTGGGTTTATAGAGCAGAACCTCCGCTGCCATTCCCAGCCCCCGAGCTGTGACTCTCCTGCCACTCGTGCCTCTCCCTACCTCCCTGTTCTTCCACATTTTTGGTGGCTTGGCTCCCAGTTCTAGTGGCAGTTGCTACTCCCTGAGCTATTTGCCTGAAGGTGGAGATTAAACAGCCCTTTCTGGTTCACTTTAAAGGCTTTCCTGGTTCAGAGAAAAATGTGTCTAGGCTTTAAATGACTTTTCTTCCCCAGAGTGACGCCTGAGCAGAGGAGGGACTCTGTCTCTCTGGTTTGGTGGCTGAGTGGCCTATGTGGGGTGTTGGGGTGGGAACCGGACCCATGCAGGTGGGGTGCTCCGCCGGTGGCAATTTTTCCTTCAATTTTTCCTTTATTTACCTTCACAGCCTCTGAGTTCAGAGCAGGACTGGGTTGAGAAGGATATTTTGTTACCGATTAGCAATCTACCACTAGCACTCGGGTTTCCCATTGTAACTCTGTATCCGACCCCACCTCCCACCACAGATGGCTGGAGGCCAGAGGAAGCAGCTCAGAGCTTGGTGGTTTCATTTGTGGGGGTTTCTAGGGCTGGGGAGTCAGGGGTCCCAGTCCCAGCCCCTCTGGCCTCGCCTTCTTGGGGGCCTCGTGAGGGGCCAGGTTCTGGGCCTCAGTTTCTCCCAAGTGCCAGGAGGGATTGCTGCAGTTCTTGGCTAGGAAATGTTGCTAGTTTTCGGCTGCGTCATCAGTGACACCTGCCGCGAGGGCTGTTGGCACAGTTCTGGAGTGCCCAGCGTCGCAGTGTCTTTGCAGGGAACTTCTTTCTTGCTTGGGACACAGAGACGTGGCCCCTGTGTGGCTCAGTGTTGGGCCACAGCAGGGGATGGTGCCGGGGCAGGGGACCAGGGGTGGCTGGGACTTGAGGTGTCCAGTTTTCCTTCAGAGGCCATGGCCTCCCCATAGCCCCCTGGGTCCCGTGCTCACTCGGAACAGGCCTGCCACCGGTCTAGTGGGGGTCAAGCTTGGTGTTGGGCGAGAGCCCTGTTATCACCAATTTCAGTTACAGGCGGCTTGGTGTTTAGTGTGGTCTCTTCAGGTCGTGTGTGGCCTTGAGCTAGTCTCCCAGCAATGGGAACAGGATGGCCAGAAACAAGGAGAGGCCCTTCTCTTAAAAATGCCTTTTAGGTAGTTTTGAGTAGAGGGAGGAGGGAGTTGGAGGTAGGAAAGATAATGCACCTCAGTCTGGGTGGTGGAGAAAGTGGGGTCAGATGCTGGGCGTCTGCCCCCTCTCCCCCCAGCTTGTCTCAGTTCATCCTCCCAGGAACCTTGGAGGTAGTAGTATTCCCATTTTCAGACCAAGCAAGTGGAGGCTAAGGAAGGTTCTGAGCCTTGCCTGGGGAAACCGTGGAGACTGGCAGTGTCTCTGCTCCCCATTGCCTCGGTGGGGTTGCCAGCGGGAGGCTGGGGGTGTGGGGGGGTCCCCCAGGGTAGGGCTGCTGGGAGTTGGGGGCGTTCTTACATGGCTCAGGCTGACAGCTGCCTTGCATCTCTGGCCTCTGTCACTGTCTAACACTCTTAGTCAGCAGACAGCACTGGTGACTCCCCATTCTCGGTTCCTGACCCAGGTTTGCTCTGGTTCGCCCATTCTGGGAAATGTCACTTCCTTATCGGTGACCACTGAGCAGATGCTTGATAACCCTGTCACCCAGAGAGGTCACACCATCTTGCGTGCGAATCCACCTCCTGCTTTTCTCTGGGGACAGGTTTCTTCTCTGGGCCTCCGCCTGCTCTTCTGCAAAGTGGGGCCAAACCCGGAGTTGCCCCCTTCAGCCACCGCGGCCAAGGGCAGTCAGGGTCTGCACGCAGTAAGTCTCAGTAGTCGTCAGAATCTTCCTCATGCTTGTTTCTTCCCAAGCTCCTCGTGAAAAAGCCAGAGGGACCACTTTGGGGGCTTGCCAGGCAGACTTTGGTGTTGTGTTCAGAACTCTGCTGTTCAGACAGCCCTCCTGAGTGTTTGGGACCACAGCACCTGCTGAGGAGCCGGGGGCCTGTGGCCTGCTAGTCCTCTAGGAATCAGTGGCGTGTGCCTGCAGCCACGGGTTGGGGAGGGGGGTAAGGAGGGAGGGGAGTGGGGGTGGGAGGGGAGGTCCCTGAGGCTGCGGTGGGAGGGGGCCCATCTGTATTCCGGGCAGTCCTGGGCTGGGCCGGGCCTGGCCAGCAAGCATGCATATGCAAATGACCTCCCCCTCCCTTGTTTTTGACCAAGCTCTGGGCTGAGCTGACCCAAGTCTGGATTAGAGGGCTCTTTGCTGTGGTTCCAGTGGGGCAAACTGAGGCAGACCAACCCCAAACTCTCGAAAGTCAGGTTTGCCCCCTTGAACTGCCAGTTTTCAAACAAAAGCATTTTCAACAAGGTCTCTCCTGCCCCTCCTCCACCCTCCCCTCCCCCCACCCAAGTCCCTGTGTCTGCATCCTGTCCTCCCCCCATCGCCATGGCCCCGTCCCCTTTAGCTAACCCAGAGAAACTAGGATCTCCAGCAAGCCTTTGCACGGGCCCTGTTTACTTTTAAAAAGTTTGGATTAAAAATTTGAGCTTCTCAAAATAAGACGGTTTTGTCCTCCTGCTTGTGTTTTTGTTGGTTTAAAGGGAGGATGGAGCGAGGGTGGTCTGGACCTTTAAAAAAGACAGCGTGAGTCGGCATGCTGGCCCTGAATAGGTCTTTTATTAGGGGCCTCCTAGCTCAGCGCCCCACGGGCAGGATCACTAATAAGAGGGCTTTTCCTAAACCCATTCAGGCCTGGGAGCAAAGGTCAGCGAAGACAATGGGGGTGGTTTAGATAAGCCTTTCCCCCTCTCTCCCCAACCTGACCCTGACCTTCCATCCGGGCCCTTGGGGTGTTGGACCCCCAGGGCCATCACAAAAGGAAGAGAGGCCTGGAGGGACTCACTGGCTCTTCAGCCTGGGGAGGGCCAGGACATCCCCAGCACTTCACAGTTTATCAGACAGAGTCTCCCAGTCCCCGCTCCATTATGGTCAGAGCTCCTAAATGGTCCCATATTGTAGATGGGGAAACCAAGGCTTGGAGAGAGCAGTGACTTGCTCTGGGTCCCGTGGGACTGCATGGGGGACCTGGGCTCTGTGTCGGAGTCTGGGCCTGCCACCCTGGGCCCGCTGCCCCTCTGGGCGGGGATAGTCTGGGTCTGTTGGGTTCGGGGAGACTCCCGGGGAAGCCCCCCATCAGCAACAGAAGGGCCTCCCAGAGCTTGGTCCTTGGCAGGGCCCCGGTGACCTGCACATGGACATGGGGACGGTTGGGGGTTTTGGGGGCTCCAGAGGCTGGACCTGTGTAGCTAGGGTATGGCTTCTCTCCCGGGGAAGCCAGACCCGTGCCTCATTCCTGCGTTCTCGTGTTCTGGCTTGAGCCAATGTGGCTCATCTGTAAAACAGGGAACGTGGGCTCCGGGCAGGCTTCTGTTCACAGGGAGTCCTTCCTTCTGGTATTTTCATTCCCTCACTTCTGCCCAGGCTGGCTTCCCTCCTCCATGGCACCCCCCGCAACACTTCACCACGGCCTGGCCTCTGAGCTCTTGGGGCACAACTTGGTTTATATAACCTTGTCCCCAGAACAGCATGATTATAAGGAAATTCTCTGCTGCATATAATCTGTGTTTTCCACCCATGGGGATTTTCTACCCCATGCTTGTCGATGTCCTCAGCACAGAGAATTGGAAGCCTGAGACCTCTGGGGAGTTCCAGAACCTTTGTGGGCCTCTGTTTTCTCCTCTGCACAAAGTGCGATACTATGACCGGCCTTTAGGTTGAGGGAGAGAAGTGGGGACTGTCTCCCACAGGCCAGTCCTCCTCCCCCCAGCTGGAGAACTGGGTGTGGGGGGTGTGGTGAACCTGACCATTCACTTGTTGGGTGGTGTGGCAGCATACTGAACCTGTAAGCCTCAGTTTCTGCACCTGTCCTAAGGATGTCACCAGTGTCACCTGGACGCCCTGCAGATTGGCCTCCTGTCACATGCTTGTGAGGGCAGCCTGTGCCTGCCCTTTGTCAGAGCCAGGTGAGCCCGTGTCTAGTTGACCAGAAGGGAGACAGCGTTTCAGCAGGAATAAGGCAGAGGAAGGTCTGCACG